TTGTGAAATAACTGGCATGTTAAATGAGGAGTTAAATAGAACCATGTAATTTTCAAATATGGACCAAGCATTCTTTGTCCTTCCTGTAGTGCTTACATTATCTTCCGTGATGAAACTCAAAACTATGTCCATCATAAATCTAAAATTGAGAACAGATTTAATGTATAAAAAATATGAATGTTTTACTCAATGGTTCATTCTTGAAACCCTTCATAAATAGCTTTTGAGCTTATGGAGTATTCAATCCTCTATTTCTTCTATGGAGTTTGATTAACTACAACTGCATTGGAGATTTCTTCCTAAAGATTTGTTAGCTATTTTTTATGCTATGACTCTATGAGTATCCAGCTTAATGATTTTTTTGTGGATATTAATATTGAAAATTTAAACTAAAATATATCTTCCAAAAGTAATGAGTTGATTAGACTACTAATAGCTATGTAGAATCTGCATTTCACCATGTGTTTCACTTTGTTTGGAGCGGCTTAGGATATATTTACTGAAGAAGGAAGTTCTCGGGCATCTCCTCCTTTCCACAACAAAGCTAGATTTGGGCTGTACTTCTGTTTGATAGCAGAAGCATCTATAGTCCATCAAAGTGGCTGCATATAAAAGAAATACAGATAAAGATGATACATCTGAAAGATCATTAACATAGGCATGTACATAAACTTCAATCATTTCATCTCAAAAATATTATTATTGAATATTGATTTAAAGTGCTTGTTTCTTACCATTTTCACACAACTTATTTTTACCATTTGGTGCCAAAAGCATAACAATAACCCCCCTACAAACATACTTACATACCATAGTGTGATGAGACTATGCGAGGGTTATGTGAAGGCAAATTTTAAGTGAGCAGACTAACACCTCATATAGATCATGTGTTAACATATCAAACTACTGATGTATACTATATAATTAGAAGAAATAGTCTATTCAAACAATTATATAGAGAGAAAGAGAGCAGAAACATACAATTAATCCAAAATTCATAAATTGAGATGTTATACCTGAAAGGATATGATGTCAGAAGAAACGGAGGGAAAAAATAGGCAGCCACCTCTGGTGATGAAATCAAGATATATTATCAATCGTTTCCAGATTCCAAAAGAGTGAACAATAAACACATGTACTGCTTTTATGTATATAAAGAACTTCTAAAATTAAATAAGCTTAGTAAACATGACTTTTGCATATGAAGCTTCGATCTCTTTCTTATATCCTGTGGCAGCATCAATAGATATGCTTCAAAACATGCTGATGAGAGTAGTTTCCTCCCTTCTGGTTCAAAACATGCTGGTGAAAATAGTTCTCTCCCTGCTGGTGAAATAAATTAATTTAGATCATTTAGAACAAATATTTGAGAGCTTAATCTACATACCAACCCCAACATGCTAAAAACAGTCACCTATTAAGCAAATGTGAAACAAATGCAGTCTGAAAAATTAAATGTATGGAACTGTCAGTCCTGTTTTTGCCCATCATAAACTTGCCCAGAAGCAACATATATTTGAGTTTCTTTAGGATAACCCATTGCCCTGAGCAACGCTGCAACTTCAGCAGGCTCAAAAAGGGCATCGTCCTTCATCCCACTTCGGTAGGGCCAATGTCCACAAATGTGAACCATCCTGGCCCTTAGGTTAAAAACACAGGTTCATTGAGAATTTTGAATTGCTACTTTTTTATAGAAAGTAAGAAAGTCATTCCGCCCTTTCCATCCTCGATGTTTCTTTTGAACATCTAAAACTGCTAAGTTATAATCACGTGTTGAAGAAAATGCTAACATGGATGCAGCTGAAAGGCCCTAAATGTCATTTGAGAAAAAGAAACAACTACATTCTATTGTTTCTTCCTCAAAGAATGTGCCCAAAATGCAGATTCAACGAGATTTTCAGTTTAAGGAATACAAATCCCTGAAGAAATCTATAAGCCTAGTTTCTATGTTTCATTCTTTTATTCTCTACTTTCAAGGAATTATACTGAGAACAGAGAAATTGAAGAACAAAAATGCCTAAATATTGCTTGAAGGAAAAAGGATGTATCCTTTGAACAGAATAATTAATCAAAAATGAAAAAGTGAAATGGACGACTAAAATTAGGGATGTCAATGAGCGGGAAAATGAAGTGGAGGAATTGTATTCCTTTTATGAATTTATGTACGCATTTAGAGGACTCCTGAAGAGTTATTCGGTGCAGTGAGAGACATTTGGGTGAAGAATTTCAACAAACACCTTGATGTAAAAAAATTGACCACAATTCATCTCAACCTTCCAAACTAAAATCTTCCAAACTAACATAGGCATAAATGCAATAAAGAATTTGATTTGTCCCAATCATGTAAGGGATAGAATACATGTGATTAGTTTTATACCTGTTTGATTTTGAAGAAAGAAGAACGAACTGTTGAAGGAATCAAAAAAATACTTTGAAGGAATACTGTAATTTGCTGGTCTGGTCTGGAACGAATTACAGTCCAAGTCCAAGTAAAAACATCCTAATTGAATATAATTGATAGAATTGATTGAGACAAAGGAGCAGAAGGCCAGTTGCCCACAAATACTCCGATGGAGAGTGTGATATGTTTCCAGAACAAAGGGTTTCTGCTGATTTTGGAATCCTGCGACATGGTAGAGAAAAAGAAAGAACGAAGTACTTGAAGCTCCACGGGATGAAAATTTTCACACTCACCCCTGCGAACACTGGCGCTGGATTGGGTCTGCTGCAGAGGAGGATCTTCCATGACAATCGACGAAGTGAAACGTGCTGCAGATGTGAGAGGTGTTGCCGATGTTTGGGAATTGGGGATTTGGGAATTGGGAATTTATTTAGGTACCAATGTGAAATGGATTTAGGATTCATCGTGTTTGAGAATTGGGGAATTGAACTCATGCGAGATGTGAGAAAGGTGAATTGCGACACAGAGAACTTTTCAATGTTCAGTGAAATTACTGTTCAATGAACAGTGAACTTTTGTACTGTTATTATATATATATATATATATATATATATATATATATATATATATATATATATATATATATATATATATATATATATATATATATATATATATATATATATATGTATGTAGAGGCCGTTTGGCGACCTTTATTTTCGCCTTATCAGCCAACTTTTTTATTAAACACGTAAATTTTGTTTTCGCGCACTGAATTGTGTACTAAGCCGAAAAATTAAGGTTGAAGTTACTTTTCTGGCTGTATTGGCTGAAGTTACTGTAGATGACCATTTTAGCTATTTTTACATATAATTTTTTCTTTATTTTATTAATAAAATATATTTAAAAAATATTTTTTTCTTGTATCAATAGAATCAGCTAATGCAGCCACTTCAGCCAGAACTTCATAAATTTCAGCAGAAAAAGTCAGAACAACCGATTTTCGTGCTGCCAAACGGGCTCATAATATATACTACGTACTATGTATAGATTTGGGCAATTTATATCCTGGGATCGGCGCACCATGAGGATGGTGCGCCCCATCCCAAAACGATGCAGCCCTTATTTTTTTTTCTTTTGTGGTTAAATATTGTAATAACTTTTTTATTTGATATCCGATTTTTATAAATTTTGTATCAATTTTTTTATTTTTCATGATCTATCAAATGAGACCAATATTGCTTATGTAATTTTAACAAATTATTTTGAAGTTACATTTGATAATATATCATGAAGTTACATCTTCTTCTGCGCGATTTACATCTTATTGTACACGAGTTACATCTTAATATACGCGAGTTACATCTTAATGTATGTGAGTTACACCATGAAATAAACCCCTGCTGCATCTTTCATTTTTATCATTTGAAAAATAGTGTATGAATATGAAATACAATATACTTATTTTATGTGGATTAATAAAATTTTGTATTAAATTGGCAAAGAAAAAAATCAATTCAGGGGAAAACTATCAAATAAGCCCTCGTACTATACCGAAAAAGTTGATTAGGCCCTCGTACTTTACAAACACTCAATTAAGTCCTCGAACTATTAAAAACCGTTCAATTAAGCCCTTTCGGTCGGTAAATAACCGGTTTCCCGGTTAAATGTAACCTGTTTCCCGGAAGCCGCCGTTGCTGGGGTTCGAGCACATCGTCGCCATCGTCGTCGTTTAACCGTGAAATCGGTTACTTACCCACCAAAAGGGCTTAATTGAACGTTTTTAATAGTTCGAGGACTTAATTGAGTGTTTGTAAAGTACAAGGGCCTAATCGACTTTTTCGGTATAGTACGAGGGCTTATTTGATAGTTTTCCCTTAATTCAGTTATGATTGAATTAGTTCAAGATAAAGATAAGTAAAAAATCACAAAAAATTAGATATAACTCACACATAATTGCATGTAACTCGCGCATAAAAGTATGTAACTCGTGTATAACAAGATGTAACTCACACATAACAAGATGTAACTCACACATAATTACATGTAACTCGCGCATAAAAGTATGTAACTCGTGTATAGCAAGATGTAACTCACACATAACAAGATGTAACTCACACATAATAACTTGTAACTGGAGTATAAGATGATGTAACTTCGTATATTATCAAATGTAACTCCAAGCTAGAAGCAAAATAAACAAACTCAATATTTTAAAAACCTCTAAAAACATATAAAAGTGAAAAAAAATATATTATAGAAAAAGTGTATGCATATAAAAATATATTACAAAAAAATGTATGAATGTAAAAAATTAAAATTAAAAATATTGATCTCGTTTGAAAGATCATGAAAAATAAAAAAATTTGATATAAATTTTATAAAAATCGGATCAAAAATAAAAAAATTATTAACAATTTTAAGAAAAAGGAAAATAAAAAATAACAAAGGGTGTACGGTGATCACCATGCACCCGTTCCAGGATATAAGCACCAGTAGATTTGAGGAATTCTCTCGGTAAAAGAGTAAAGAACATTTTTATTATTATTATATTTATATTTATATGGATAAAATGGAGTACTATTGGTATTCACCAACCTTTGAAATTTGTTTTACTGGGAGCTGTACATTGGGTCTCCATAATCTCAATCATCCCTTCTTTTTACTCTGTTCCCAAGAAAGACTCATTCTTTCTAGTTCTAGACAAGAATTCTGCCCGCCCAGACCCCCTCCTCCGCTCACACCCGTCCCCATCCCCATCCCGCTCTCGTCAACTATATCAATCCCCACAACGCCGGCCTCCTCTTAGTAGGGAAAGAGAGATGGAACAGTGATGCCATGGAGGCTTCTGCAGAGTACAGCATATGGGATAGTGTTTTGGAGCTAACCAAGGTGGCTCAAGGAAAGGGATATGACCCTTCGGTGTGGGCAATTCACGTTTCTTCACGTTTGAGCTCAGCTGGGGAGACCTTGCCCTCTATTCAGCTGGGCCATCTCTTGGTGTCTCACATTTGCTGGGGCAATAATGTGCCCTCTGCCTGGAAGTTCTTGGAGAAGGCCATGTCTCTCAATCTTGTGCATCCTATCCTTCTCTTTCCGCTGCTTTCGAATAGGTCACCCATCTCATTTCTTTATTCACTTTACAATGCTTCCTTTTTAATATTTCAATTCATTAGTACTACGTATATGGCAAGCTTGTAATTCAAAAGCTTTGATCTTCTATCATACTGTGCGTGTTGAGATTAAATAATATCAACAATAAATAGCTAGTCATCTATAATCTATCTCTTTAATCTTCTAACTGAAATGAATGTTATCATTAAATTTGGTACCCGACCAGGCTAACAAATTCAAGTCCATTTATTGCAATTTAGGACTTTAGGCTTTCAGTCAGGTTTTATCTTTATTGCAATTTCTGTAATACTCCCTCCTTATTTTTGTGCGTGTGACATTAGTTTTTTACAAAGTTTAAGGGGTATTAATTAGTGTAGAAAAACTAGAATAAGTAGGAGAGAAGGATCAAAAAGTATGACAGATAAGATGAAAAGGTATTTAAGTATTTTTAAATGAAAAAATCATCCATAAAGGAAAGCATTGCAAATATTTAAATACTTCCCTCCAAAAGTATTATTGTTGTAAAGAAGTCACCTTTTATTTCGCTTTTATTTTTTGATATTGGGCGGAGGAAGTTTTGGACTTCAGGTATATGCTCAATGCTCATTTCTTGGTTTGCTAATTGGGATTTTTGAGAAGGCATTATTTGCGACTGTTTGCTGACAAATGCCTAAACCAGAAAATTTGTGTTTGTTGAAATATCCTTGTCAGTTGTCACCTAACACTTGTTTGTTATTTCAACAAACACTGGTCCCATGCAGTCTGTCATGTTGGTTGCTTTACCTTTGAGGAAAAGGAGGTGGTTGTTCTTGTCATTTACTTGATTCAGTAACTTTATATAGATTAAATTATTGAAGAAATCCCTATGTACTACTCGTATATTGTAGGTTTGAAGAATTAATCTTCCATGTATTATTGAGCCATCCGGCAATGATATAAATACAAAATTACAGATAAGCTAAGGTTTGTTACAGATCCTAATATTTAGGATCTATCTATTCTTATCTACACTGCGTGTTAATCTAAGAGTTAGAGTCCTAAATCAACTCTACTTCCTATCTATACAGTTCCGGATGTACACATAATAAAATAACATGAATATGCTACATTTTTCTACACTCCCCCTCAAGTTGGTAAGTATATATCATACATTCCCAACTTGCTTATAAGAAACTCAAACACTGGTTTAAACAGCCCCTTTGTAAAGATATCAGCTGTCTGCTCTTTAGTAGATATGAATGGTGTGCATACAATTCCAGCTTCAATCTTCTCTTTGATAAAATGCCTGTCCACCTCAATGTGTTTAGTACGATCATGTAGCACAGGATTGTGAGCAATATTAATGGCTGCTTTATTGTCACAATATAATTTCATAGGTAGGTCCATTTCCATATTCAACTCTGTCATCATTCTCTTGATCCAAAGTAGCTCACAGATTCCATAAGCCATAGATCTAAATTCAGATTCTGCACTACTTCTGGCAACAACATTCTGCTTCTTACTCCTCCAAGTCACCAGATTCCCCCATACATAAGTACAATATCCAGATGTAGACCTTCTATCAGTTATTGACCCAGCATAATCTGCATCTGTAAAGGCTTCTACACTTCTATTGTCACTTCTTTTAAAAAATAATCCTTTCCCTGGACAACTTTTCAAATATCTTAGGATCCTGTAGGTAGCATCTAGATGTTCTTGGAATGGATTATGCATGAACTGACTAACCATACTGACAGCAAAGGCAATATCTGGCCTTGTATGTGCCAGATAAATCAACCTTCCCACCAATCTTTGATATTGGTGAATATTAACTGGTACTCCTTCCTTGACATTTCCTAACTTCTGATTAGGGTCAATTGGAGTATCTATTGGTCTGCATGCACTCATACCTGTTTCATGAAGTAGGTCTAGTACATACTTCCTTTGGGATACCACAATTCCCTTCTTTGATCTGGCTATCTCCATGCCAAGAAAATACTTCAATTCTCCCAGGTCTTTGATTTCAAATTCCTGAGCAAGCTTCTTCTTCAGGTCTTCAATCTCTTCACAATAGTTTCCTGTAAGAATTATATCATCCACATAAACAATTAGTACTGCAATTTCTCCCTTAATGGAGAATTTCATGAATAGTGTATGATCTGCTTGGGCTTGTTTGAATCCCTGCTTCTTTATGAACTGAGTAAACCTTTCAAACCAAGCCCTTGGGGACTGTTTAAGCCCATATAAGGCTTTCTCTAGCTTGCACACCTTTGAGCCATATTGTTCCTCAAACCCAGGAGGAGGGCTCATGTATACTTCCTCTTCAAGCTTCCCATTTAGGAAAGCATTCTTCACATCTAACTGTTGAAGAGGCCAGTCTAGGTTAGAAGCTAGAGATAGTAGAATCCTTATAGTATTTAATTTTGCAACTGGTGCAAAAGTTTCTGTATAATCTATGCCATAGGTTTGTGTGTATCCTTTGGCAACCAGTCTGGCCTTATATCTTTCAAGTGTACCATCTGCCTTGAATTTAGGAGTAAACACCCATTTGCATCCAACCCTTGGTTTATTTTTGGGTACCTCTACAGTCTGCCATGTCTGATTCTTTTCAAGGGCATTCATTTCTTCTAAAACAACCTTCTTCCACTCAGGTATAGATAGGGCTTCCTGTATGGTTAAGGGAATAGAGACAATGGAAAGGCTAGAGGTAAAAGCTGCAAATGATGTAGATATCTGAGAATAGGACAGATAGTTTGAGATAGGGTATTTAACACATGACCTTTTTTCTTTTCTGAGAGCAATGGGTAGATTTAGATCACTGAAATTATTACCTTTGTCATTTTATGGCATTGAGTCAGATTCATTGACAGTGGCAGGATCAGGGATGTCCTCTATTCTGTGATTTGGAACTCTCCTTTCATAAACCTTGCCAAAAAACTTACTTGTCTGCTGTTCATCATCTTTCCTTGTTTCAGAAAAAAAAAATTCATTTTCTTTTGACTCTTGACTATTTTCTAGTGCATCTAACTGTCTATTATACTGTGCATCTAGATTAATGTCAAGAGGTTCTAGTTTTTCAAGGATATGTGATACATTATTACCATCTTCATTAGGAATCTCCCCCTGAAGATGAGTACCAAAAAAAGGTTGATCTTCTACAAAAACAGTGTTCATAGTTATAAACATCTTTTTTGTTATAGGGTCAAAACATTTATAGCCTTTCTGAGTTGATGAGAGTCCTAAGAAAACACATTTTTTCCCTTAGGGTCAAATTTACTTGCAGTTCTGTCAGGATTGGTAATAAAAACTGTGCACCCAAAAATTTTTATGGGAAGAGAATTAATTAGTCTAGTTTCAGGAAAACAAGTTTGAAGAGTATCAAAGGGAGTTTTGAATCCTAGAGTTTTTGATGGCATCCTATTAATTAGATAGGTAGCATGTAAAACAGCTTCTCCCCATAAATATTTTGGAATTTTGGCAGAAAACATTATTGCACGAGTAACTTCAAGTAAATGTCTATTTTTCCTCTCAACTATTCCATTCTGAGCAGGAGTATTTACACAGGAACTTTGATGAACAATCCCTTTTTCAGCAAAAAAAGTATTTAACTTCTTAGAAAAATACTCAAGTCCATTATCACTTCTCACAATTTTGATATTAGTGTTGAATTGAGTTTGGATCATTGAGTAAAATTGTTTGAACACCTCTTCAATCTCAGATTTTTCTTTAAGTAAAAACACCCATGTGACCCTTGTGTGATCATCTATGATAGTTACAAACCACCTTTTTCCTTTCAGAGTTGAAACTCTAGATGCACCCCAGATATCACTGTGTACAATAGTGAAAGGACTAGTTGGTTTGTAACTATGAGGGATGTAAGAACTCCTATGATGTTTGGCAAGTGCACACATATCACAATGAAATGATGAAGGATTTTTATTAAGAAATAACTTAGGAAACAACATTTTCAAATAGGAAAAACTTGGGTGACCTAATCTATAGTGCATTAGGTACACTTCATTATTACAAGGAAAAACAGTTTGCAAACAAGTTTTTTCTTGACCTTGTTTATTCAATTGTGTTCCTTCATCAAAAGTATAGAGGCCATCTTCCTCTCTAGCACTGCCAATCATCTTCCCTGATGCCAGATCCTGAAAAATGCAATAAGAGGGAAAATTTTTTACACAACACTGAAGATCTTTAGTAATTTTGCTAATAGAGATAAGATTGCAGGAAAGTTTAGGAACATGTAAGACTTTGGAAAGGTTAATGGATGAGGAAATTTTAATATTTCCCATCCCTGCTATGGCTGAGAAAGAGCCATCTGCAACTCTAACTTTTTTATCTCCTGCACAAGGTTGATAAGAAGAAAAAAACTTTGGAATATAGGTCATGTGGTCTGTTGCACCTGAGTCAATGACCCAGGTGTTTTTAGTTTTTGCAGAACAAAAATATGATGTTATTTTACCATTCTGGGCAAAAGAACATGTAGTGTTTTCAGGATTGGAGATTTTCTGGGTAGGTATGAATCTGAGTAGGTACTCTATCTGTTCCTGAGTGAATGGTAGCTGTTTAGGTTCAACTCCTGCCTCTTGTTGAGTCTCAGTCACAGTAGTTTGTAGGGCCCTTTCTACTTTCTTCTTCCCAGCTCCTGGTGGTTTTCCATGGAGTTTCCAGCATGTATCCCTTGTGTGCCACAGTTTCTTGCAGTGATCACACCAAGGTTTTTTCTTGTTGTCATCACTTCTGGCCACCAAAGCTGAAGATTCCCCAGGTTCCTCATTAGGTGCTGGGGTGTTGTACATGACCTTCTTCCTGCTATCCTCCATCCTGATTTCAGAAAATACCTCCCTGATAGAAGGTAGAGGTTTTTTTCCAAGTATCCTCCCCTTAACTTCATCTAGGTCCCTATTGATCCCTGCTAGAAACATATAGACCCTATCATTCTCTTCTTTTTTCTTATGTCTGGCCAGATCCTTAGCACTCTCCCACTCTTCATCATCATAGCATTGATCTAATTCTTGCCACAGAGATACCATTTCATTGTAGTATGAAATAATATCCCTATTTCCTTGTTTAGATTGCCACAATTTGGTTTTGAGTTCAAAAATTTGAGAAGAGTTCTCAAGGTCTGAATAAGTTTCCTTAATAGAATCCCATACCTCCTTTGCAGTTTTCATAAACATATGAGGTTTGGCAATTAGGGGCTCCATGGAGTTGAGAAGCCAAGCTGTTATGAGTGAATTCTCTGACCTCCATGTACTGTACCCTTCTTCTGCAGGTATTTTTGGTTGGATTTCTCCTGTGATGTAACCCAACTTTCCCCTCCCATCAATTGCAAGTCTGACAGATTGAGACCACTCCAGATAGTTTGTTCCATTCAATCTATGACTAGTGATTATCATAGATGAATGAATAGGAGACTGGTAATTTGTCATAGAGCTAATTTGGGAGTTAGGGTTGGTAGTGTGTGAGGAATCAGCTTCACTGGTTTCTACCATTGTTTAAACCGATTCTCTGATACCATGTAGGTTTGAAGAATTAATCTTCCATGTATTATTGAGCCATCCGGCAATGATATAAATACAAAATTACAGATAAGCTAAGGTTTGTTACAGATCCTAATATTTAGGATCTATCTATTCTTATCTACACTGCGTGTTAATCTAAGAGTTAGAGTCCTAAATCAACTCTACTTCCTATCTATACAGTTCCGGATGTACACATAATAAAATAACATGAATATGCTACATTTTTCTATATATGTAGAAAATGACTTGCTAGAACTTTAACACTGTAGCAGAATTATCTCCTATACTAATACTTTTCTGATTGGTATTTGGTATGGTATTGTTGATAGGTTTGGTGCTGATAATCATTCTATTGTCTCCTTTGTACATGTCATGCTAGAATGAAGTGTCATCCAACTCATTGCACAAATGGTCTATTATCATTGGAGAATATTAGTAAACATAGAAGAAATGTAGTGCTGTTTTTTAAAGAATCATTTGCCTTCTATGTTATTAGCATGCGTTTACTCAAACACTCATCATGTTTTTTTATCCATTCTCGCACTTATCTTGGCTGTGGTCTTTAAGGGAGGTACTTTAAAATTTGTTCTTTAGGGTAGGTACTTTATTATTTTCCATTATTCGCAATGGAGCCAAAGATTCATTATTTTTTGGCTTGAGATTATGATGGAATAAAGCAAAATGGCTCACTAAACTGTTTGCGCTTCTTTGTTATGAAGCAGCTGTCAGTCCATGCAATTTTGGACAGGATTTTCACTATGGGTCATCCGGAAACAGTCTCTCTGTGCTTTAGTACAGGGGTAAGACTGCGTACATCCGACCCCCCTTACCCCACCGTAGGTGGGAGCCTTTGCGGCACTAGGGTAAATGAAAATGAGGGTAGGTACTTTATTCTTTATGCTTCTTAAATCTATCAAGAATATATGCTGCAATTTAGTCTTGGCTTCTGTAAAGTGAATCTGAGACAATTTTATCATGTGATATTGTTTTCAAAAAATGACATGTATATTACTAATAGAGTTTCCCAGACAAAAATATGACTAGTTATGTTTTTGGACAAAAATATGACTAGTCACTGTGTACAAGTAACTGAACAAGAGTCACTATAATGTATTTCAGAATGACAAGTCACTCTTAGATGATGAGTGATGAGTCACTGGGAACTAGTCACTGAATATGTCACTTATTTGAATTTTTTAAAAGTAAATCATATTTTTGTCTGTTTAATTTTATTTAGAATATTCATGGAAAAAGGCCTATTATTTTTTGTTCACTGTTGCTTTATCTGCTTTATCTTACCCAGAACTCCATTTTCATGTAGAGTTATCCCTAATCGTCACTTGCGGCCTCCAGCCTTCAGGATTTACATGGAACTTCTGAAAAGATATTTATTCACACTTAAGTTGCATCTAAACATGCCAAACAATCAAATGTGAGTTTACTTTTCTCAAATGATTTTGGGATGCATTATCTCATCTCATCTTTTTTTGTCATATCAATTCCATCATTTTCATTTACCCCAGTGCCGCGAAGGCTCCCACCTACGGTGGGGTAAGGTGGGGTCGGATGTACGCAGTCTTACCCCTGTACTAAAGCACAGAGAGATTGTTTCCGGATGACCCATAGTGAAAATCCCGTCCAAAATTGCATGAACTGACTGCTGCTTCATAACAAAGAAGCGCAGACAGTTTAGTGAGCCATTTTGCTTTATTCCATCATAATCTCAAGCCAAAAAATAATGAATCTTTGGCTCCATTGCAAATGATGGAAACATCTTTTTTTGTCATATCAATAATTGCTCTTAAATTGTAGGGTCATGGATTTCTTGGACTCTGTTCTCCCTTTCTCTAAGATATTTGGTAGACATTCTGAGGAGCACGGCATTCTTATAGTTGAAGTCATTTTTGCAATTGTTTTTCAACTACTTGATGCATCACTGGATGATGAAGGGTTGCTTCAACTTACTCCAGAGAAGAAGTCTATATGGCTAAATAAACATGAAGATATGGATTTAGATGGATATAATAGCAGTGATGTGGAGAAGTTTGAGCATAAAGAGCAACTAAAAAGTATGAACACTGTCATGTCTATCGAGTTGATTGGGCAATTCCTACGAAACAAAGCAACTTCGAGGATTCTTCACTTGGCTCGCCAAAACATGTCAGAACTCTACTCTTTTTAACTGCCTTTCATCTTGCTATTATTTCAATGCATTTGTCTGTTAGAGTGTGATACAATTTAGGATTGGGCTGAGGTAACTAAAATGAGCCATAAAGCACTTGGTCCTGTGACTCCTGTCATTACCATAAAGAGTAGGTCATTTAAACAGGCGCACGGTTTTTAGGGGAAGATAATAAATTGAGTAAAAAATAATACTCCCATAAAAGTTGGCCAATTTCAACTTGCATGTGGAATAATAAAGTAAATGTTGTGTAATTGAGGTTTGTGTAGAGGAGAGAGGAATAACATTAACCACAAATTTGTTACTTTAAAAGGAAATGTCAATTTTTTGGGACGGCTAAGTAAGGAAATTTTGCAAAGCTTAGTCTCAGCTCCTTTGGCACTTTGAAAGGTATAACGGAGATCAAATTTTGCATTTTAGTTGACAGAAATGATATGAGGAATGAAAGTACAAAAAGGAATACCTAAGAGGAGAATATTTCTTCACCGTCATTTAGGAATTCCAATACTTGGAACTATGGAATGAAGATGAAAATAAGCTAGAACGTACCAACCAATCCGGCATAGTTAATAGATTATACTATTAACTAGAATTTTCTTTTATAGATGTTAACATTTGTCGCTATGGGTCATCCGGAAATAGTCTCTTTGTGCTTTAGTACTGGGGTAAGACTACGTACATCCGACCCCCCCTACCCCACCGTAGGTGAGAGCCTTTGCGGCGCTAGGGTAAATGATGATAATGATGATGATGATGAGATGTTAACATTTGTATAATAATTTCCTTAGTCTCTCTAGACACATCATCATCAATTTATCAGCTATTGACTAATAGCCTATTACCTTTTCAGGCCCATACAATGGGGAGATTTTATCCAACATATGGAGCTGCTTATTGTGAATTCTTTGGCATTGCGAAATTCAAAATATCTTACTCCAGATGCTCTTCTTCAGTTGACATCAGGTGCTCACAATTTAATGTCCAGGGACCTTAGAACAAATTCTTGGAGAAAGTCTCGTGGTTCTACAGATTCAAATTCTTTGGCTACATGTGCTGGTCTTTTCATTGGAACTAGTTGCTCTTCTTGTTGGCTACCTCTTGATCTGGTATTAGAAGATGCCATTGATGGTTTTCAAGTTAGTGCCACTAGTGCCATTGAGATTATAACTAGTAAGTTCTTTAACTTCTTTTATCATATATAGGTTGTTATGATATTCATCATGATGCTTTACACAATAAACCAATAATTCTACTCTCTAGGTTTAGTGAAGTCCCTACGTGCAATAAGTTGTGCCAGTTGGCATGAGACGTTCTTGGGACTTTGGATGGCAGTGCTGCGATTTGTTCAAAGGGTAAGAAATTTGATTTTTCTGAATATGTTTTGTCCTTCAAATTATGACCTTTCATAACTTCAATAGTAGAAATGCAGAATCTATTGCGCAAAATATTACTCCCTCCGTCCCATTCTAAGATTGTCACTTTCCTTTTTGGGACGTTCCATTTAAAGGTTCCAATTTCTATTTTAGGAAACAATTACTAATCTTAAATGACAATTTAATCATCAAATATTAAAAATAATACATCTATAACATCACAGTTATCATCAATGTCTCCATTATACGAAGTATTATATCACCATCAAAATTATTTCTCAAAATATACTCAAATTACCACATTTAATTGTTATGTAAATAACCGTGCCATTTTGCAATGAGAACATTTGAACGGGACGGAGGTAGTATGATTTTTTAAGTTGAAGTGAAATGAAAAGAAGAAAGCTGTTCTGAACTGTTCAGAAAATTATTTCTTGTAACTTTGTAAGCTATCTGTTTCATGGCTAACTAAAAAATCCATGTGGGAAAGTATGTTTTATTGATTCCAAAGGAAAAAACAGATATAATTGTGTTTCCCATTATATTTGAAAGAAAGAAAATCAGGTTTTGAGTTGCTCCAGCAATATAAATGCATTTGATAAAGAAAAGCATTATCATGGAAACTAGCAAAGTTACAACTCCATTGATGCAACTATCAGGATAGAAGTTGGAAAATATTATATTGTGCTTGTGAGAACTAGATTTCACCCGTGCGGTGCACGGAACACAAATTAAATAGTAGCTATATATAAATATAATATATATATATATATATTAAATAATAGCTATATCATATTATTTGTTAACATTATCAGTTAATGTCCACGTAAATGCAAAGAGTACAGATGGAATAGACATAAAAGATTATAATTAAGAAAAATATAGTTACAACTCATAATTGGTAGAAATATGTTTTGGATAAGAATGGATAGATAGATATTACAATAATGTTTCCGCAAAAATGAATATAAACTCTATACAACCTTGATTTTTTCAAAAATAGTTTTTCATTTGATATGAAATCTCTCTGTTAGTTATTTGGTGGGGGAATAACTTGTTTTTGTGTACTAAAATCTGTCCGTTCGACGTAAATCAGATTTTTTGAAAAAAGCTCAAGCAAATATTATGTGTTTAAAAGGTTATATTTGTCCGGTTTATGATTTAAAAGACAACCAAAATTTTCTGGATTTATCTTTTCGAAGCATGAATCTCTTAACGTATCAGATGTTTATCTATTTTTATTATCATAGGTACTCAAATTTTGACAAACATAGTCAAAAGAGTAAATGTGCATGGCATAAGTGACACATATATACTCATAGATCTTGAAAGTGAGATAAGCAGTACTTATGTCATACATTCTACTTGATTTAGAATTTTAAAAACATAACTGTTTGGCTTCTCATCAAAATACAAACTTCTTCCACACTCATATGCAATACTTTTAGGATTTATTATTTATAAACTGATAATATGATTTTAAATAGTTATTTATGTATACTCATATAGTCCAATAATTGATCGAGTGTGACCTGAATAAGTCTTTTAGATTTGATTATGGAACATTTTGTCTTTTAATTTAGCTGTTTATTTTGAAATGTATATATGAGGCTTGCTTAAAATCCTTGGTTATATGCGATCCAAAGTAACCAAAGCCTGCTTATAAGGCCAATATCAATATCAACGTGTTAACATAAAATTTATCTGAAATGTTTAATTGGTTTTATTTCTTGAAAATGGTTTTATTTTATTAAAATACTAATAAGTTGAGATATCAAATATTTAACCTAAACTTGATTTTTGTTTCAGCTGAATATCTATGTTTTATTACTTCCGTAGCGCGTAGTCTTTGTTATCATCATTTTTTAAGCCATTTAAATATTATATTTAATGATTCATGAGTTCCATTTAAGCACACATTCATATTTTTGCCCCCCTAAAGAATTATAAAATATAATTACTTAAAAATCCCACAAATACTTTGATTATTTTTTCTAAATTAATACTCTGTATACAAAATTAAAATTTCTTTGGGCTTGCAGTTTTCTCTGTACAATGTTTTACAAAAAATAAGATTGAGGTTCTATACACTCACTTAAGTTTTGGAAAATAATTTGCCTCACCCTAAATTAAATTTCCCTTCTCTTTTGAAGCTTAATAATTTTTTCTTTTGTTTTCAGTTTTTTACAAAAAAGAAATTAAATTTTTTAAATTTTTATGGTTTTTCATATGACACCAATATTGTACCTATAAAGTTTTAAAAAATCAGCAACTTTTTGTATCCACAATTTTTCTTAAGTAGATTCAAGTGATAAAATTGAGATTGAAGTGTTAAAATTAAGATATCACGGTTAATATTTTTAGTACTTCGATCTACTTAAGGAAAAAAAATTGGGTCCAAACCCTCCAATAGTTCAAAAAAATTTAAGACTTTATATATGTGATATAGGTGTCATATGAAAGATCATAAAAAGTTAGGATTTTTGATATATTTTTCATAAAAAATGAAAATCAAATTAAAAAGTTATAAATGTTTTTAAAATGGAGGGATTTTTTTTGTTGAGGGTCCCACAACTTATTGTCATGTACAATTTTTTACATTTTGTGGAATGGTTCTCCCAAATCCCACACTATTCTCTCTCACATTTAAGCAACAATGTTTTACACCCATTCAATTAGCCTAGCCCACAACTATATACTGGGCCAACTATATACTTAAACAACATAGGAATTTTACCAATTCAGGACACAAAAGATAGATGAATATCAATCCGGGACCTGAAAGATGTAATGTATCGATATAGGACCCGAATGATGGAAAACTATCAATTTAGGACTTGAATGATTGGATATTATCAATTTAGGACCTAAGTTGTCCGAAATTGTATTAATTTTTTTATCTTAATTTTTTTAAATATTATTTAGTTTTATGAAACTAATAAACTTTTGTGAAAAAAAGTTTATCAAAAATTAGCAATGGAATTAATAAAAAATTAAATGAATCAAAACCTATGAAATTTTAGGTCCTAGAGTGATAGTTTTTCATCATTCGGGTCCTATACGGATAGATCTCATCTTCCAGGTCCTGAATTGATAATTCATCTATCTTTCAGGTCCTGAATTGATAAAATTCCATCTATATACAAAGCGAAGTGGAAAATCAGCTAAATTTCCCGCTCAAAAAACGTCACTATCAAAAGCAAAAATTTATACTCCATATACTCCGTATTATGTTAAAGGAAATTTAGCTGATTTTCCACTTCGCTTTGTATATAGATAGATGACACTTCTTTTCGACTGGTGGAAGTAGAAGTAGGAGACTCACAAAATAAGTTCTTTAAACTAGAGAGAGAATCCTTACTGCAGGCAGTGCATTGATTTTTCTTTTTTTTTTCTTTTTTTTTGCTTTTTTCTTCTTTTTTATCTCTTTTTTTATAAAGCACTCTTTGAATAACATTGCTTTGCTAATACGTTATGTAGAAAAAGTAATTTCTTTGATACTACGTATTAATTATGGGTTGTGTTCTAATCAGGAGAGGGATCCTATTGAAGGACCCGTGCCCCACCTAGATACCCGCTTGTGCATATTATTCTCTATCACAACACTAGTGATAGCTGATATCATTGAGGAAGAGGAATGTGAGGAACCTAGTGGGACTGAGCACAGCATGGATGGAAGCTTTGGGAAAAAGGCTAGTAGACAATGCCGTAAGGATTTTGTCTCTAGTCTACAAACGCTTGCTGGCTATCAGAGCTTGCTAGCCCCACCTGAGGCAGTACTGTCTGCAGCCAACCAGGCAGCTGCAAAAGCAATGGTGCTTGTATCAGGCTTCAGCATTGGCAGTGCATATTTTGAGTGCATCAACCTTAAAGATATGCCTATTGATTGCTGTGAGTAATATTTGTATTCAACTTACCAAAAAAGGAAAGAGGGACAACTAATTAAAAACGTCCAAAAATGAGTACGGGACAGTTAATAGAGAACGAAGGGAGTATTATTTGTAAATATACCCCATATCTATTCTATATTTTTCCAATTTTTCTGTATCGCTTTACTCTTATCCGCATATACGTATTCGGGCGACATCCAGTCAAACACAATATTCATTTTCCAAGCATGGGTATCCACTTTTCATCATGTTAATAAATCCAATGGGCTTTTGCCAAATCTGATTATTAATTTTTGGATGTGTTATTTGTGAATTGTGATCAAGTAGATTTAGATAATCAGTGAATGCATGAATATCCATCCATAAACTTAAAATTGATGAATTGAATCAAGTAAATTTTTTAAAGGGATGGATTAGAGAGTGGTGGACGGTTAAATAATTTTACGACCCCAACCTGTTAGCATATTAAGGTGTTTAAGTTGTGGCCCAGTATGTACTTATGCACCGTAAAGATTTAAAAGTTTGTTTCCACTTATTTTCATGTTTCTTTTTTCGCCTGTATTCCTAGGTATTTTATCATTTTATTTCGCTTTTCTTGCAGCTGGAAGCTTGTACCATTTGATAGTTGAAGCATGCATAGCAAGGAAGCTACTGGATACATCTGTTTATTTCTGGCCCGGCTATGTAAGTGGGAGAATTAACCAGTTACCACACAGTTTGTCTACTCAAGTACCTGGCTGGTCATCATTCATGAAGGGTTCCCCACTTTCTCCAGCAATGGTTACTGCTTTAGCTTCAAGCCCTGCTTCAAGGTAATTGATTAAGCTAGTTGAACAAGAATAATTGCTAATTGTTTTGGACTTTTGGTCTGAAGTTGTTAAAAAACAATTGTTTGGACTTAAAGAGCCGGTTATTCTTAAAGTTCCTCCAAAAGACACTGAGTTGAGTGCGTTCTAATTTTAGTCCAATTTTGTTGATATTATCTTTATACCACACTCTAGAATATTCTAAAACATATATACGGATGAAGAATTTGTCTGACATAGGCTACATAAAATAATATACCAACATATATCATTTGGGCTCATGCTCTTAGCAGTTTGAGCTCTTTTAGGCTGAAAACTCAAGTTTTAGTATAGTCTGGTTGAGACGAGGTATTGGGCTTTATAGTATGCAGGGGCGCTCAGTTGCCCCCCCTTAACCCCCATCCAACCCTTATATATGTATATACATTATATAGTTATACATATATTGGTGCGGTAAATATGAATACGTTGTTGATTAACGGTGAGTAGGATAACTATAATCCTTCTGGATGGAGTGGAATGGCCATTACATGCGTCTAACTAAGGATGCTTTTTATTGGACTTAAATTTCCTGGTCTGACTTGGCTTGTTTATGCCTGGTTTGAACTAGTCTGGTTTGGTCGCGTAAATGTTTATTCTATGTGTATTTTTACAACTGTCAAAGTAATGGTTTGATCTGGGACAGAAATGAGTCTTATTAAAAACATCCTAAATGTCAAGGGATCGAAACCCAACATTGTTTATTGAGTTCTGTTTAGTTTTTCCTTTTATAAAGCTTTAAGGAAGTTTAAAATGACTTTACGTAGTTTTGTTCAATTTTTTTCTTGTTTTGAAAGATTTAAGTTACTTTAAAATAATCACATCTTGTTTTGTAAAGTATTAACAATTACATTTTTGCACATAATTTATATACGTGTGCATTTGCAACTTAATTTAATTCTAATACATATTTACAACTTAAATTAATTCTACGCATATTTACAACTGAAATTAGTTCTAATACATACTTGACTTGTCCCTTATTTAATTCATTTATCTATTGACATAATTTTTAACAAATTACAAACTTTGTAATTAAAATTTATTTCTAACAAATGTTTTAAGTATGATATCATAATGTTTTTGTCGAACAAATTCTTTGTTATTTATAGTTGATTTTAGATTTTTTTTAATGTGGTCTACTATATGTGACATGCACGTGCTAATATCTAGTGCGAGTTCGACCCCCTTATTAAAATTCCTGGACATGCCACTGGTGGTATGTACCTTTATGGAAAAAAATTGCAGTGCAGAAGCTTTTCTGACCATGTGGAGGGTGTTGAAGATTTTGTCTCACATCAGTTAATTATAGAATAGTACATTAACAAACTTGAACTACTATAGAAATCCTGTAATGTGCAACAACACAGTATTCTACTCTATCAGTACTGTTCTCCCTTTTTTACCATTTTACACTTCGTATTTCTTAAAGTGAGGTCTGTCAGATGATCCTGTTTTCTTTTATTAATTCACAAGGGTAAAGTGACTAAATTTAAGCTCGTGCATTTGTTGGAAGCTTTGTTGACCTTGAGAAAATATTTGAAATGGCGGTTAAGGGATCAGATGATGAGAAAATAGCTGCTGCTACAATTCTTTGTGGCGCCTCGTTACTTCGTGGTTGGAACATACAGGTGACTACAACTAATCAATGCTGAAAAATAGATAATACATGATAATTTTACAAATCCCTGATTTGAATATCAAAACACTGACATGAAATGAAATTATTGCTGGGCATGCTCATTAGGAAGTTATTTGCTAATTAATACATCAAACTACCCGTGCAGGAACACACTGTCTACTTTATAACTAGGCTGTTGTCTCCACCAGTTCCTGCAGAGCATTCTGGAAAAGAGAGCCACTTGATTTGTTATGCACCAATGCTGAATATCCTGCTAGTTGGAATAGCACCTGTAGACTGTATCCAAATATTCTCTCTTCATGGCATGGTATGCAAAGCTCTAAATTTTTTTTTCATTGGGTGTGTTTTGTTAATGGCGGTTTGACCAAAATCTGGCTGTTTTGACTGACTTTAGCGTTTTGGTAAATGGTTTTTTGCCTCAACAGCTTTGAATGAAAATATAGTTTTGAACACACTACAAAGAGCAGGGCCAAGTTATCAAATTGGTAAAAAGAGGGGGTGATTGACAAGTTGTCAAAGAACATACTCCGGCAATAAATCATTTTAAGTAGAGCCGACGTTATATAAGTATATGACCCAAAATTTTCACCAACTTTATCCAAACTTGAACTTGTCGCCACAACTTATACATTTGATATCATTCCACTCTTTTATTCAACATTTCTGTTGAAGGTAGTTATACACTTATACAACAATAAAAAAAAATCAAGCCTTAGTCCCAAAAGAATTTGGTATCGGCTAACATGAATCAACATAGGAAATCAGAGCTAAAAAGATACAAAAGATAAGATAAGATAGAAAAGATAAAGAAAAAAAAGATAACAAGATAAGATAAAAAGAAAAAGGTTCGAAGAAAATAAAAAATGAGATCAATCCTCCACACGTATATTCTCCCTCCATTTCGCTCTCTCCAAAGTCATACTCTCATCCAACCCAAGAAGTAACATATCATTCCTGACCCCTCTAGTCCACGTCTGTTTGGATTGTTGAAGGTAGTTATATATATATATATAGATAAGAGATCAAATACAAACCATGCTTAAAATACTAACCTACAAACTCAATAATATGCATCACTTTGAACTTTAATATGCAGTAGAAATAATGTAAAGATGCAGGTGTGAGATCACATACAAACTAGTCCTCCCATTCAAATCTTCTTTACATTATTTGTATTGCACATTGAAGTTCAAAATGTTTTATATTATTCAAACCATAAAATAGCAGTTTCATATTTACATTATTTGTATTGCATATTGAAATTCAAAGAGTGCATTTTTACATTATTTGTACTGCATATTGAAGTTCAAAGTGTTGCATATTATTGAGTTTGTAGGTTAGTAAGTTAAGCATGGTTTGTATGTGATATCACCCCTATATATATATATATATATATATATATATATATATATATATATATATATATATATATATATATATATATATATATATATATATATATATATATTAACAATAGGTTGACGAAGGAAGTTAGTGTTAGGGTATTAGAAAGAAAGTACTCCCTCAGTTCTCCAATACGTGTCTCTCTTTCTATTTTGGGATGTTCTTTAATATTTGTCTCCGTTTCCACTTTTAGAAAGTTTTTTCAATAAATATACCTATATACCCCCATTCTCCAGAAAGTCTCCAAAAAATTATGTTTAAAAATTACTGGAGAATGGGGGTATATACCTATATACCCCCATACACAAAATTCTCAAGAAAATCTGCTATTTTAGAAAGTTACCTATATACCCCCACTTTTAGAAAGTCTCCAAAAAATTATGTTTAAAAAACTATTTGGTGGTGACTAAACGCTAATATGGTCCACCACTCTAAGTGTCTAATCTGCTAGTTGTTAACACAGTTAGCATTGCCAAACAAGGCCATTGTTAGGGGAGATATTATTTCTCTCCCATGAATTTCCAAATAACCTTCCGAACTGGGGCTACTCGGAAGGCTATGTAAACATTGTGACTTAACTGATGGTATTTTATGTGAAATTCTAAATGTTGAATGTGACTTTACTGATGGTATTTTATGTGAAATTATAAATGTTTAATGTGACCTGACCTGACTAGTAGTGACCACAGAGTGGACCTGCTAACCGATACTGTTGTGCAAATACAAATACGAGTAATGCACACAGTGTTTTAGATGCATTAATAAAAGATTGTTTTCTTGGAAAAGCTAATGACCTGTTTATAAATAACTCCTGCTCTTCTATTCAGGTTCCACAACTTGCTGGTTCTTTGATGACAATCTGCGAAATGTTTGGATCGTGTATTCCTAATGTCTCATGGACACTGCCTGTAGGAGAGAAAGTCACAGCTCATTCTGTATTTTCGAATGCGTTTACTGTACTTCTAAAGCTGTGGAGGTTTAACCATCCACCTATTGAGTATGGAGTAGGAGATGTGCCGCCCATGAGCTGCCAGTTAACTCCTGAACACCTCTTACTCGTACGTAATTCTCATGTATCATCATCTGTGAATGATATAAAGGAACCGCACAGAAGGAGACTTGCAGCCATTGCAAGTTCTTCCTCTCCAAATCCGATATTCATGGAGTCATTTCCTAAACTAAAGCTATGGTATAGGCAGCATCTTGCATGCATCGCTTCGACTCTCTCTGGCCTAGTAAATGGCACCCCTGTCCATCAGACAGTCGATGTGCTACTTAACATGATGTTTGAAAAAATTAATAGGGGAAGCCAATCTTTGACCACATTAGCATCTGGAAGTAGTAGTTCTTCTGGGCCCACAGGTGATGATACTCTCCCAAGGCCTATATTATCTGCTTGGGATATCCTTGAAGCAGTTCCCTTTGTGGCTGATGCTGCTTTAACAGCTTGCGCCCATGGTAAACTTTCTCCTAGGGAACTATGCACAGGTGAGTCAGATTTTACTGCTGCTCAGTTTCCTGCTTGATGTCTTGACATTTTACAAGCTCATTAGTCATTACTCTCATACACAAAACATCTCTCATTTTTTAAAGTTGAATATGTTGACGACGTCCAGGGACCAAGGATTGGCTGTGGATAATTTTAGTTTTGCCTATAAATAAACAATAATGACGAAATTGCGGTTAAAACAAAAATAATGGACGAAATTGTGACTATTAATATGCACTGACCATGATAGTATTATGTTGTATATTTTTACGCTGCAGTGACCATGTTAGTATATGCAGTGACTATTATGATCATGTAGTATTATTTTTTTCCATAAGTTTTATTTTTAGTCCTACGTACTCCCTCCTTCCCGAATTGAATTGCAAATTTTGACCGGCACAAAGATTAAGAAAACATATGAATTTGTATTGGGTTTACGGTTTACCTTTTTTTCCTTTTTGTCCTAATAAAGCATATTCCGTGGAACAAAATTGAAAAATGGGAAAGTAAAATCCAGATCTGTAGCAACAGTCACTTTGGTAGCATTACAGATGCCTAAAGAAAGTACAATGCTACAGTGCATACATGTGCTCCATCCACACTCCGTAGCTTCTCATCCTCTAAACCTTCCTCTTTTCGGCACTTTTCTGGGATGGCTCAGGCTATTTATCTCCCTTCTCCAACTGAGTTAGAACTCAGATCACCTCCATCTCACTTGCAGTCACACTTCCATCTGTCCAGGCTGAATAATTGGCAACACAAGTAATTCAACACATTAGTAATAAACGGCTACACAACAGTTTTCACCAATGCTCCGTATAACAACATTAGAAATTATTCACACAAAATAAAGATAAATTTCTACTTACAGAGGGAAGCACTTTTACTGACCAATTTCTCATTTTCCCCTCACTGTCACCGACCCCCTCGTGACCGATGGTTTAGCCCTCGCCATAGTTGACCATAGATGAGCCCTTGCCATCGTTAAATTTCAAAACTTTTTCTTCAAAACTTTTTCTTTATTGCTCACCCCCTTGTCTTCATCGCAAACCTGGAGAAGGAAACCTCCATCGCTGACCATAGATGAGCCCTCACCATCGCCCTAGACTTTCTTTACTTTGTCATTCTTCGCCTTCAAACGGGAAAGGAGTCTCCCTGGAGTTTAATGCATGACAGTTCATTTCACAGAGAAAAGCTCAATATGGGTGTTAATGGTGAGGGTGAGAGTCGTCAGGGATGTGAGGGAAGAGAGAAGATGGAGTGTGCAGGTGAAGTTGATAAGGTACGGGTGGGAGGAATTAAGTCAGCCATGTGGCGCAGTGGAAAATTAGAAGGGTAAAGTTTTTATCTTATTTAGTTTTCCATACTCAAAATGGAAAGTGGAAAATCATTTTGGGACAGCCAAAATAGGAAACAAACCTACATTATACTCTTGATGCCTCATTTTCCAAAATATGAAGCAGCCATTTTCCTTCTCATACTTTCAGGGCTTAAAGATCTGGCCGATTTCCTTCCTGCATCTCTGGCAACCATAGTCAGTTACTTCTCAGCTGAAGTTACACGTGCCATTTGGAAACCGGCTTTTATGAATGGGAGTGATTGGCCAAGTCCTGCTGCCAATCTATCTAATGTGGAGGAGCAGATCAAGAAAATCTTGGCTGCCACTGGTGTGGATGTGCCAAGCCTTGCTGCAGGTTGTGATACTGTAATTATGAATTTTGTATTACGATTTTTAAAATTTTGATTATTAATGCCGCTGCTTCGCACACCTTATACTAAACAAAGAATAACTAACTGAGCATTTGATTCATTCCTTGAACAATGTTTATTGATGTCAGCGCTTGCTAGTGGCACTGCTACTCCTTGAATTGGGTTTATCTTAACAAATACTTCGTATAAGGTTGGTTTGGATAGGGGGTTTTGGAGGGAGGAGGGGGGACTAGTTTTTGTTTTGCGGATTTATCTCTATTTGTTAGTCTTGGACTATTTTAGTTAAATTATGTATTGCTTTATAAGTTTTGATCTCATTCTTTCAACCATCTAAATATAAGAATACTTTTAAAAACAAATATCAACCCCCATTCCCTTCTACCTGAAATCTCCAAACCATACAAGCTCCCAAGCTGGAATTATTAGTTGTTGTTTTTTTCCTGATGCCAGCACTTGATGCATTTATTTTCCGACTGTGTTGGAAAGCTTTGTCTCTTTCTTTGTTAATTCATGTTTATTTTCAACTTAAAGAAAAGGAAAAAGTCTGACTCCTTTTTACATGCCTCTAATTTATATTTTATGGTCTGCAGGAGGGAGCTCTCCAGCTACACTTCCACTACCGTTGGCTGCTTTTCTCAGTCTAACAATAACCTATAAACTGGACAAATCATCGCAGCGTTTTCTAAATCTAGCAGGCCCTGCTTTAGAGTTACTTGCAGCTGGCTGCCCTTGGCCATGCATGCCGATTGTGGCATCTCTATGGACCCAAAAAGCCAAACGCTGGAGTGACTTCCTTGTATTCTCTGCATCACGCACAGTGTTCCTCCACAATAATGATGCTGTTGTGCAGCTCCTCAAAAGTTGCTTCTCTGCTGCCATTGGAACAAACTCTTCTTCCTCCCTCTCAACCAATGGTGGCGTTGGAGCCCTTCTTGGCCATGGGTTTGGATCACATTTTCATGGAGGAATCTCTCCTGCTGCCCCGGGCATCCTGTATCTGCGAATCTACAGGTCTCTCAGAGATATCATGTTCTTGAGAGAAGAGATTGTTTCTGTGTTGATGCAATCTGTGACAGACATAGCTTCTAGAGGTCTTGTCAGAGAGAGGTTTGAAAACGTGAAGAAAGTAAAAAACGGTATGAGGCAGGGAAACGTTTCTCTAGCCACTGCAATTAGTAAAGTTAAGATTGCTGCTTCCCTTGGGGCTTCTTTAACATCGCTGTCAGGGGGATTTGGGCTTGTGAAGTCTTTAATTAAAGAGACATTGCCATGTTGGTTTCTATCTGTTCATACATCTGATCAATTGGATTCAGCTGGTATAGTTCCCATGCTAAAGGGATATGCACTTGCGTACTTCACCATTCTCTGTGTGGTTTTTGCTTGGGGCATAGACTCATCGACTTCTGCTTCAAAGCGCCGTCCAGAAGTTCTGTGCTGTCATATGGAATTCCTTGCAAGTGTTCTAGATGGAAAAACATCACTTGGTTGCAATAAAGCTACATGGCATGCCTATGTGTCAGGATTTTTGAGCCTGATGGTCCATTGTACTCCAACCTGGGTGTCTGAGATAAATATAGAGCTGCTAAAGAGGCTAAGTGTAGAGCTAAGACTATGGGATGAGGAAGAGCTTGCCCTTTCTTTGCTTTGTGCTGGCGGGCAACGTTCTATGGGATTAGCTGCAGAGTTGATTATGGACTCTGCCTCATAGTGGTTCCTTTTATCATGTCCTGTAGATTTTCCGATACAAATTTTTGCCACTACCGAGTTCCACATTCGGTCCTCTTATTTCAAAAGCCTCATTTTTATGTCACTCCGTTCATCTGGCCGGCCACAAGTCGACAACCCATTGGGGGGAAGGCCTTTCATGTCTATGTGCGCTTGCCGCTCACCACACATTTTACTTCTCACCACACGAATCTCTAGTTATCTTTTCTGAAAAAAAGGACAACCTCTTATGTCTGTCACCATTATGGCGAGTTGCAAGTGAGTCGCTGTCTGTATTTTTTTGTTTATTTCTTACTAATTATTCTGTTAATTTTGGGACAAAAAAGCCCCAAATGAGAAGCACAAGAGACGGGTATTTCCGATGGATTGGTCACTGGTGTCTGTGGCTGGCCAAAATGGATGGGACTGTGTCCAAAAGTTAAAAGTCTGGCACCATAAATGAGACTTTCAAAACAAGAGGACCAAAGATGAGACCAAGTATATGGTCGGTGTCTCGTCGACCAAAAGTGGCAAAAAAATTCTCCGGCGATTCTAATAACTCAGTACGTGTGTTAGTGTATATGTAGACTTGCGTCCAGATGGGGAATTAGTTGCACATTGAAGCCTCATAGACTCATTGTCAATGAATGTACATTTTCTATTCTTGCTAATCTTATTGCTCTTTCCACGCAGTAGTGAAAACATAATGCAACATTCTGAATGCGTTTTCAATTACAGGTCGGATGAGTTGTTTTTTGAAAATAATTTGTTTGATAAAATGACTTTTACTCTTAAGCTGCAAACTTGCCAAATGACTTTTTAAGTGGTAAACATACTTTTCCAAAAAAAAAAAGCGGTAAATATATTTTTCCAAAAAAGGTAGTAAAAATATTATCATATAATAATAACAATATACTCCTTCCGTCCCTCTTATATTGTCCCGTTTTACCTTTTCGGGAAGTCCCACTAAAATTGTCCCATACCATATTTGGTAAAGTTTGTGTGGTTCTAAATCATTCTTACTTTATTCTTACTTTATCAATTAATATCAACCACACAATCTCACTTTTCTGAATAATCGTGTCACTCTTTTCTGACCCAATATAAGAGGGACGGAGGTAGTATTACTTATTATATACTCCCTCCCACCCTTAATTAACTTTACACTTTCCTTTTTGGGTTGTCCCATATTAAATTTTACACTTCCTTATTTGCCTTATTTGACAAACAAATCTATACCAAACAGTGTCAAATAGTGTCAAACAGTGTACTCTACAGTAAAGTCATTTCCTTAATATGTGTGAAGTCAAAGTGTAAACTTTTAAGGACCGGAGGGGTATTATGGAACTGAGGGGTATTATGGAACTGATGGAAGTGTAGAAAATCTACTGGTAAAGAAGGTCCAAGGGTAATTATGGGATGAAAAGTTTGAAAAAGGGACGGATGATATGGATATCATGACATCAACATCATATTAGGAAAAAAATCATACTATCGGTGGGCATAGCTCAACTGGTAGCAAGGGAGTGCCACAAGGGTTAGGTCTCAGGTTCGAATCCCGGCAACTGCGATGAGGGGTTACTATGATAAAAATGCATAGGGCCTCTGCAAGTACCAGAGAGAGTCTCACTCTCTATCTGTCAGATTGGGATTATAGTCCAATTTACATCCTCCCAACGTACCGGGGGGTCGGGGTTGAGGGGCCTTCAGGGATGGGGTGTCATCCTTTTATTTTTTATTTTTTTAGGAAAAAAATCATACAAGTCATATTATGGGAATGATGATGACTTTTAGTCATATAGGGGTAAATTTCTCAAGTTTTATTTAGTACATTGGCAAGGAGTCTTATCTCAAGTTTGGTTGTATAAGAGTTAAAAAAAATCCCCTAGTTTAATTCGTATAAGACTATATGAACTTGAAAAATTCAAATAAAGAATAAAATTGAGAATCGATTATGCATGATTAAAAAATTATTCGAGTATATTTTGAATAAAGATTTTAGTACTAATAAGGGAAAAATAGTTTAAATATTCCAAATTTTGAAGGGTGTGTAAGGTAAGCACCACAAAGTTGCATACACAATATATATGTCTCGAACTTTATATAAAAGGTAATGTTAGTATCATGAAATTTACGCAATAAAGTTATGTTTAACACCATAAAATTGCATTTAGTGGTAAAAATACTCTCTTTGTCTTCAATTTATCTCCTGAAGTACAAATGACACAGAGATTTAGTGAGTATTGTGTAGTTAAGAGTTGTGCGGATGAGAGATAAATGTGTAAGAATGTGTAAGAAATGCATTGGAACACATTTTTTTGCCAAAAAGGAAAAGAAAGGATAATTTTGGAACAGACAAAAAAGAAAAGTTTGAAGATAATATTGGGACGGAGGGAGTACACAGTTATGATGCTAACTAACATTTTATGCATAGTTCAGTGTATATATATATTACATACGTAAGATTAGTTGCTTCACATGTGTTCAAAGTTTCGGATACCTAGATTATACTTCCTCCGTCCCCTAATATTGAGAGTGATATGGTTTTTAAGAAAAGTAGAATTATGTGGTTGATAATGAGTTGATAAAGTGGAAATAGAGAAAGAATGAATTAGAACAACGTAAATGTTATCAAATATGATATGAGACAATAATAAGGACATCCAGAAATAGAAAAATTGGACAAATTTAAAGGGGATTAAAAGTTACCTATGTACCCTCCAATCTCTTTCTAAAATTCTAGACATCATATACGTAGTACTACACTATTCAAACCCTCCTTTTTCAATTTTAGGCCGTAGCTTGAGTTGTAGGCTTTTAAAGGTAGCTGATACATCGCCTATCAGTACTCGGCAACACACTGGTCAGACAATCAGCTAGGCTAATTTGCCTATTCATCTTCTTCTTCTTTTTTTTTTTATAATCTATGTGTCGGGGCTTATGCTCCCATAATCCTAGAGTCTATGAATTACCCTCCAAAGCTCCTAGACAGTTAAATCTGGATCTGATCACAGTCAGTCTCGTCAGTACTGGCTCCAAAGGACGAATCCAGCAGGACTTACATCACCTTTCAGGCTGCTACTCCCACCACACGAACCCGCTACCTCCATTACCATCCTTTCCTTCCTCAGCCGCTGAGCAACTCCGTGAAGGTAGGAAGAATCATTGGAAGCAAGACCTCCCTCATCTCCCCTTGATGGGAATTGAACCTAAGACCTCCCACAAAGGAGAGACTTGAGGGTGGATGGTCATCCAATGGACTACACCCACCTTCCCAAAAACCTAATCATCTTCTTCGAGATTGTTGTATTGAATGGACATGCTAATTTTTTTTGTATAATTATGATGTCGGTGTTTGCACTTTCCTAATTATGGAGTCTATGAATTACTCTCCAAAGTTTCTAAACAATTAAATTCGGATCTGATCGGTCAGCCTCATCGGTACTGGTTTCAGTAGGACGATCATTGGGAGCAAGACCACCATCATCTTCCCTTTGGTGCATAGTGAGTTTCGAATACTCGAGATCTCACCTATGCAAGAGTAACCTCACAATCAGCTAGGCTGAAATACTCGGTTATACATATTACTTCCTTTTGGTAACACGAGACCTCACCTATGTAAGAGTAACCTCACAATCAGCTAGACTGAAATACTCAGTTATACATATTACTCCCTTAAATAGTACTTGTAGTACTACACGATGACTAAGATCGTATAAGATTGTCTTCAACTATGTTTTTCATTAACATAACGAGTATAATTCGGGGTCTTCGTCTTGATCCATATTACTCTATTTGTTTCGTCAAGATTGTCTTATCTTTTCTTTTCGTTATGTCTCACACAGAACGAATTTGGTATAATTGTCTCATATGAAATTTGGTAAAATTTGTATGATTCTAAATCATTCATACTTTATTTTTACTTTATGAATTCAATATCAACCACACAAACCTGATATTTTTAATAATTGCACCGCTTCTTCATGTCTCAATATTAGTGAGACAGAGGTAGTAATATATTATTAGCCGCATGTAAAACAAAAGATGTTTGTACGTTATTTTCGATTTAATAAAATAACGACTTAATCGTTTAACCATTAAATCATGTTAACTTACGACTTAATTGAAAACATGACTAATCATTGAGTCAGAAAACTGATGTAATCATTAAATTGGAAAATAATTGTTCTTCCCATTAAGACGTCTTTTCAATCACTCTTTTTAAAATCGATCGTGGAAATAATTTATGTTGATAAGTGAAATTTCTCTTTGACATTATAATTCAATAATATTATTAAATTAAATATTTTACGTAATTTAATTTATTTATTCAACACACAAAATAAACAACCTCATAGATAGATATCTTGATCCAAACAGGACTTGATAGAAAATAGTAAACAACTTTTAGTTTCTATAAGAAAGATAGAACCCTTAAATAATACTTGTAGTAGTACACGCCGACTATACATATTATTTACATCATTCAAGATTGTTCTAAAATGGTCTTTATAAATTTCAAAATGCTCCTAATTAGGACTAAACATCATTGTTAGTATTATACGATTCGTGGATAATACAATAATATGTATGTTCGTGTGTAATACGATACAATTATATAAAATATGGTTAAATATGTGTTTTATATGTTCATGAAGTGGATGAGGATACAGTCGTGTTTTAAACGTTTCACAATTTTAAATTACGGTATATAATATGTGTCTTATATACTAATTTAATGATAAAAATAAAGAGTAATTTAACATATGCACCACATTTTTCAACAGTTTAAAATGTACGAAATAGTTTTTGTAGGAAAAAAATCCACTTTTGGTCTCGTGACTTTTATACCACTTCCACATTTAGTCTCTTACTTTCAGATTATCCACATTTAGTCCGTGACCATTATCCCCTCACCACCCCTCGTCCTTCTGGCCAAAATTCCGGCAAATTTAATGCAGATTTTAGGTATGAAAAACCAAATTTAATTCAAAGACTGATATGAAAAACCCAACCTTATATAAAATTTAATGCAAAGAATGATTCTGAGGCTGATAAGTGGACTAAATTTGCCGGAATTTTGGCCTGAAGGATGAGGGGTGGTGAGGGGATAATAGTCACGGACTAAATGTGGACAATCTGAAAGTAAGGGACTAAATGTGAAAGTGGTATAATAGTCATAGGACCAAAAGTGAAATTTTTTCGTTTTTGTAGATATATGAAATTGAATTCGTAGTACAATAAGCAATATAAACGACATTGCCTATTTGAGTAGAAGTAGAGAGATGTTGGTGAGCCGCCATCAACCACTCATAACGTCATTGACTTTTACTCATTAGAGAAAATGGACAAGAGCCCATCCACCCGAACTAATCATAGGTGATCCATTAAAAGGAGTCAACACCAGAATTGCATAAGCCAACAAGTGCTTATTCTCATGTTTTCTTAGCCAAAAGGAACCTACAAAGATGGTAGAAGTACTGGTTGATCCAGAATGGATAATAGCAACGCAAGAGGAGTTGAATCAGTTTGACAGACTGAAAGTTTGGACCCTAGTGCTGAGGCCTTACAGAAAAACAAATATAGGCACCAAATGGGTTTTCAAAAAATTAGAAAGATGAAGACGGAGTTATCATCATAAACAAGGCTCGCCTGGTCGCAAAAGGCTATAATCAACAATAAGGAATCAACTATGACAAAATATTCGCACCTACACTTCTTAATCTCACATCGAGTCTAGGTG